GGGGCGTGATGTTGAAAATAGTATAGCTTTTCGGTTTCCTCGTTTCTCAGACTACATTTCAGAATTTTTTCCGAACCTCTACCATCATGCGTGTAGCAATAATATTTTTTTATATTATTTATACATATATTTTATAATGTATTTTTATTGCTATTTTCAATATTTTTGACATAATCTTTTCTCGTTTATCGCCGTGTAGTATGAGTTATTATTTTCAATGAATTTTTTTATGGAATAAGTCCTAAATTCTGTTTTTTTATAATCGGGGGCCCCGCACTGCTATTCGTTCCTGGCGTCTCGCATGTGGCCGCTAGAAGTGGCCGCTAGCTTCAGCGTCATCGATGTTGCGAATGTTGCGTACCACATTATAATTTGTAGCAGGATTAGTCACCTCGTACGTAGAAATAACAAATTGTTTGCGAGGTAAGTTATGAGATGAAAATATCATTTTCTTATAAAGAGAAAAGTAGTCTCATTGTCAAATAAGCTCTAAGCAATTTGAGCTAAATCTATCGAAATATAAATTGCAATTTACTATTGATGCATATTTTATCGGATTTCTGTTTTTAACGAGAATATGTAATATAGACAAAAATAAGAGACACGTCTTTTTTCAAGTGTTTTCTTATATGTAGAGAGCATGAAACTCTTTCAAAAAATTGATTTTTTTCTTCCTGAATGAATATTATCTGAACTCTCAAAGATATGAAAAAATGTTTTAAATAAAAGTTGAATGATTTCAAGAATATTGTTTATACTTATACCTACTTTATGTTTATACCTACTACTTTATAATACTAACAAATTTTTTTTAATTTTTTCTAAATAAAAAATATTTGTTAGAAAAATTTGTTTATTACTATTCTAAAGTACTCTTCAAACCCTCAACATTCAACTTTTATTTAAAAAAATTTTTTTTAAATAATTTAAACGACATTGACTCAGGAAGAAAAAACCTATTTTTTTCAAGATAGAGTTCTACCCTCAAAAAGTATTTATTAAAAAAAAAACGTATTTCTTATTTTTGTCTATATTTTAACATATGTGAAACTTATTAAAATCAGAAGAAGACATTTGATCGTGTGTCTTTTAAAGTTGTATTTGTAGGAATCAGACAATATACACGTGTCCCTGTCGTGTCTTGGCAAGTTGTACTTAATGAAATTGCATGATTAGAAATATAAATTTCTCCTACTGTAATAAAATAAGAAAGTGAGGTAGCAGGAGAACCAAATAAAAAATACGCGGAAAGAACGATTTTACTGATGTATCTAAGGGTGCGTCAAAATTATCGAGCCGCGAACCGAGCCTGCGTCCACATTCAAAGATTTGATGTAAATCTATATTCATTTCGATAATGTGGATGTAGGATCTTTGAATGTGGACGCATCGGTTCGCAACTCGATGTTCAGCTCGATAGTCTGGACGCACCCTAAAAATTTAGCTATAGATATAAATCTGAAAATAATTTTGTTTTGGTATTAAAATAATTACGTAGGACACTCAAGCTGATTGCTAGAATGTCAAAACTTTTTGTAGAGCATTGAGAGCTCATACTTGAGTTTCTCACATAATTATTTTGATAGCTGAATAAAGTTATTTGCAGATATGTATCTAAATTTTTAGATATTTCTGCAAAAACATTCTTTCCGTGTATAGATAACAAGAACATATATCATATACTATAGACTAGAAGAATAGTTACTTTTGAAGAATTCAAGGAAGAAATGAGAATCTCTGAGAGATCGTGCGCAATTCAGTTTTTTACTTTAAAGAATAAATTTCAGTAGCAATACTGCAGATAAAGTAAAAAATCTATTAGTCGTTTCTCGTACTATTTATGTCAGTTTTTTTCGAATTTTAAATCTAAATGTTGCGCACATAAAAATTTTTTACATTACTTTCAATGAATTCATACAGAAATGTGTCGACTGACTCTTTAGTGATCAATGCCTCAATTACGAGTATTATAAAATATATTTTTCAAAACGCATTGCGTACATATAACTTTAAATACTTAAGAATTTATTCATTTTCAGGATGGAACTACAAAAAATGTTTAATTACAGAAAACTCGCTATTTCAGAGAAGAGAATGTTGTAAAGTAAGACATAGCAGTCTGTATTACCTTAAAATAAGAACATTCTTTCAGTACAATGTAGCTTGACACATATTTTATACACATCATCTATAAAGACAAATCATATAGTTTGTAACACACAATGATACTTACCGAACTGTAATTGACCATTGACATTACGTACAGTTTACCGGCAGTCAATGTGCACGGCACGATACTTCTGTAAAGCAAAATCCGCAGCACTTTCTTGGTTTGTAACGAAAATGCGTACCAACGCGACCTACAACTAAGACATCTTCTTTTGAATTGAGAATTTAATTAATTACTAATATATTAATAAAATCGGTTACTAATAATTGAATTAATTAATTATTAAAATATATATTTTTCAACAATGAAATTATGTCCTTTGTAACTATATTGTATAATACACAATATTTTAGAATTCAAAAATTGACAAGATCAAATTCAAGAGTGAGAGTTACTATACTATATATCGCAGGAAATTATGCGTTAATGATATTATGGTATTTAATATGTAATACATTATCCATTAAATAATGCAGTAATGATTACATCAGAATATTCAGCACATTTTCCTGACGATATTTTCTCTCTATTCTCTATCAAATATTATATAATATTTTTACACGCTATTGAAGACGTTTAAGCTGTGATCCATCAGTCTCTGCCCTGGCAGGGTCATGCACAAAAGATGGAAAAACGATGCTAACCACAAGGCAGTGTATCTAATAATATTCTCGGTATTATCGAGGTTATTGATTACCTAGATAAATAGAATTATCTAAATAAATGCTATAAATTTACAAATTTTATCTTACATATATAATTATTTATTCTGTTATGTACTTACTTGAATCCCTATAAGGCTTATGCCAACTACATTACACAACAATTGGATACCTGTCGATAACGTGAAGGAAGATTCTAATACGCGAACATATCTGGCGATGAAAATAATCCGTAAGTCTAGTTATAAGTTGATATAATATGATAATAGATAAACGATGAATCACTGTTATAGCTAAAGTAATTTCCGAATAATTTAATATCTCAATTTTTAATCAGTACAATAAAATCAGTATAACGCGCTAATATTCAGGGAGTACAAACTGAATTGCAAGCTGATGTTTTTGCAAGCACGTGACAAATTCATAAAAAATCGCCTTCTCTTTGAAGCAAGTATCTTCGACTTCTACATCTTGATACGTTCTTTCTTTGCTTTTCGCGAAGTAGCTTGTTTTATCAATGTGTCCTTTTGAAATAATATGCTCTAATCGATACCTGGACAAATGTTAATGTCCAACAAATATCTGAAATTTTATTCGAGAATCTACACTATATTATCATAAAATATTAAAAAGTTATGTTTTACCCAATGGCTGCGAATAAACCGCAGCCATGCTCCACGTATGATATATATGTAGTGTCGACGCATACTACAATCGATATGCACAATATAATCGCCACATAAGAATGGAATAAAATGGGATAGTAGTATTTCTCCCGATCTACACGGTACTCGACCTCGATCAGCAACTTTCGCGGGCGACTATCGTTGAGAGGCATTACAATGTCCATAATCTGCGGCGACATCGGAATCATCATGAACAGTGCCATCGACGTGTAAATATAAACTGCGAACAACGATCGACACCTTTACTGCTTAATTACTTTTCAATTGATATAGCTGGTATAACAATGGTAGCGTACATGCTGTTTGCGAAATGATTAAATCTACGATTCATTATTTTTAATCATGATCAAGCGGAAGTAATATCCAGAAAATTACCGGTTTCTTACTTGAATAAAATATTACCACTTTTCTACCGAACGTAACGTAATCCTGCATGATCTTGAAGTCCATAGAATTGGTAAACACCTGCCAGTGGTATTCGATTAAAGAAAACAAGTACCGCGTCTAAAGTTTTTATGATAGAAAGATTAAGTCACACAATATGAAGTGCAATGACACGCGTGAACACGTTCTGTAAGGAATTTGTTTATACCTCCTTAATATTAAGGATAAGGTTGAACAATTTCGCCAAACAGGTGATTCCAATTATCGTCGAAATCATGCACTCGATTGTGATATCAACGTTACCCCAAGTATCGAACATGCGTATCATCTGAGAGAATGAAGTATCACTGTAAGAGGTGTTAAAGAGTGATATTGAGATAATTGTGACGTTGTAATATATTCCAGTGACGATGAAAGCTATCATTATTTAAAAGTCAGATATTAGCCAAGAAATAAGCAAATCGGAGATCCAAATTGGCGCAATTGATTCTGAAGCGCTCTATATATTTTTCAAAAATAAATACGGATCGAATCCGAAAATGTACGCGCTCTAACTTCGTAAATAGCGCAAGATCAAATAATTACATAGTTACCTCTGCTATAAGAATGCTGACATCGACTAACACTATCGTGCTGAGTATCAATATCCTCTTTGTCTTACTCTGATAAGGCCAGGTGCCGATCTGCGACATGAAAGTCTTGTTAATGTGGTAGTAATGCAGTACGACCGACTGCATGGTGAACTTGTCACCGTAGTAAGAGATCGGTGAATAAACCGATGAAGAGATATGTACGTTCCGCATACTGGATATAATAATCAAGTTTGACACGTTCAATGTTTGTAATGATACACTGTCAGTATTCGTTCAGGTAGTCGTTCATTTAGAATAGTCGTTCGAGCAGCGGAAGTTCGAGGCGTTATCGATTTCAGCAAACGTACGATTAGCGCTTTTCTTTGCGATAGTTCAATTCAAGATTTTGACAAGAAAACCAAGTTATTTTTTCTCAAATTAACCGTGTCTTACCCAATCAAACTATACCTTTTATCATGTCTTTTTTTTAACGGGATTTGAAGAATTATGAGAATTTAAAAAATGTACTGCTTATATAATTTATTCGTGGAATAATTTGTGACAATTGCGATAATCCAATTACTTCGTATTTATGCTTTTATATTAATTGGTTGGAATTTTTAATTATCTTCTCTTGTCCGTTATTTAATTAATTTTTTTAATCTTAAGTGTCTTAATTATTCTTTTTTTCATTAACATTTACATAAGAATTATGGAGGAAATTATGATAATAAATATACTCGATAAATGTATTAAATATCAATACATTTGTATAAATACACTAGCATTAAATAATGAAATTTGTTTAAATAATTAATATTTTTATTTGTACTACAAAGATGCAAAAGAACATTATTTTAATGCAAAGGAATACTTATCAGAGAAACGCCAAAGCCAAAATAAAATTCATTGAAAGTTCCGTCTACACAATCTGAAAAAAAGAGACATTGAAGTTAAAATATAATATTTGAATGTAATATTAAATTACAAATGTATATTGTGAATATTCGTATTGTACAAGAGCTCTTCAGTGACACTATAAGTTTTCATCATCGTGCCATCATCTTGTGTTCAATATATGACTTCTCATTAAGATAAGTATAATGTATCCTTCTGAATCTTGATTTTGAATTTTGCATTATTCCTGTAAATAATATCTTAGGAATGTACTAACATTTCCAGCAAGTTAGAGCATAATACTTATTGCAGCAGATTGAAATTATATTTCCATTAAGCTCATGATCTGCCAGCAGATCCTGTTGATATAATCTGATAAGAGATTGTAGCAGAGACCAAACAAAATTTGTCATTTCGTAATCATTGAAATGGAACATATTTAACTAGTTATGAAATGGCAGATTTTGCTCGCAGTTTCTGCAGTCCCTCTGCCATCATATTTTGTGTTAGCAGATTCTGTTCTATTTCCACTGGCATTCTGTCGATCAAATTTGTCGACACGTCAATTCGTGCCTTCAAGTTTTATTATAGATCGCGAGAATTTTAGACTGTACAGAAAAAAATGTAAGTATGTTTTTCTATCTGAGTAAACTACACTTTTGAGCACTGTAACTTCACTAAAAAAATATATTTTTTTTAATCCAATTAAATTATGTCACATTTAACCCTCCGTGAACCAGATGAAGTGTGATATACCCTAACAAGATGAATTTCTATGACTTCTTAAAAAGTACCGCGCGCATATTGCCGGTTTCGTACAACTGCAGAGTGCGTTATTTATACCAATCATACTAAATTATAATACATTTATGATGAAGTATAGCATGGAGTATGAAATATACTCACATATGATTCATGTTGATTTTCCACCTGGTCCGCAGAGAGTTAATAGCACTTTACATTTTCGCACATACTTGCAATTTTTTATTTGGTATTCATTTATTGTTTAGGATAATAGCTTCATTTCGTGAACACGTAGCTATCACTGACGTATGCTCACATCGAACACATTGAACTCGCAAATTGCTCAGGCGATAAAATTACGACTCATTTATGTTATTTCCGCGTAAATGAGTCGATCGACAATTGTAACGAAAAGCTACAATGAAAAGGGTTTCATTGCGTGCAAATAATTGATGGCATAATGACGGACATTTATCCTGAAACACAAGGAATTGTTAATGTTCTAGCGCTTTGCTTGGTGCAGGCGACCGTACGCAAAGTAAAGTAAGTATCATTGATATAGTTCGTATTCCTAGTATTTCTAAGAATGATCGAGCGAAAGGACATTTTGCAAAGTCGGTATTATGCAATTCCTAGATTATATATGACGTTAGCAGGATTATGGCCGTATCATCCAATTCGCAATAGATATCTGCATTTTGTACCAACATTTACGATCTGTTCGATCATTCTTTTACCCATGGTACATAATTGATTTTAATTAAGAGAAGAGTAATGAGATAAATCTTAAGAAACTTTTTATTTTCTTCGTGCCAAATTTTTTATATAAAATCTATCGATATATGTTTTTTATATAAAATTTATATAAAGCAACGCTCTTTATAGCGTTTGATAGTGCTCAATCAATTATTAACCAGCTTGTTTCACACAAAAATATATTGTCTTTCTTCCTAAACAAAAACATCTTGAAGATTAGGTTTTCCTTTAAAAAAGAATATATTAATCATTATCAATGTTTTGTAACATCTATATCAACATTTTATAGTTATTGTATGTCCACATTGCCATGACGGATCTCAATGATCTATTCGAGTGTATGCCAACGATACTAATCACAATAATATTCAGCTTTAAATTAGCGAGCTTAATGGCAAACAGTAAGAAAGTAAATAATGTGATTATACATACTATATATGCAGATTTTATTAATGCGATTAACGTCACGTAATCTAATTCCCAACGGCCAATAATAAATATCATTCGTAAAAAAGACAAGTGTGTTTGTAGATAGAGGCCTGTCTTAAGACGATAGAGGACGATTGGTTGTCATTAAATACGGATAGTGAAAAGGCTACTTTGCAACGACATGTTATACATGGTCAATATCTGACGATATTTTATGCAGGTGCGTTAAAAAGAAGATAAGCTAAATTTTGTTTTGGTAAAATATTTTTGGAAGAAGAGTATATAGAAGAATTGAAAATTTGCTAGAAAACTCTTTTCCAGTAACTTGATCGAATCTTTCACGCTCTTTGTATTACTCGCGTGTTTCCAGTCTTTATGATGACGACAGGTTTGCTCTACATGTTCAAGTCAATTGTATTAATAATGATAGAGGATACGTCAAACTCAACTAGACTGGCTGTAACGGAACTACCTTTTCGCGTGGAATATGGCTACACAATAGATCAGTACTTCTATCCAATAGTGATTCATTGTTATCTAACCGTATACTCTCACGTGACCGCCACGATTGCTGCTGATACCTTCTACTTCACTTTGATTCAACATGCCTGTGGGATGTTCTCGGTTGTCGGGTAAGAGTATCAGAAACAATATTTTAAAAACTGATAATAGGAAACAAATGTTATGACCAACATTACAAAAAATACTTCGATGTAGGAAAGATCAGGACCGGTTATCACAATTTTTTAATAATTATTTTAAAAAAATGAATGTAAGATTTTTAAACATTATATACGTTATAATATATATTTACATCTCTTGGCTATTTTTAAAAAAGATTACTTTTGAATATATCATCATATAAATAAGTTATTTAATTTTAAATAAAGCTGCATAAATCTGACAATTAGTCTCTTACTTACAAAGGAACCTTCGGAACCGTCCCTCACCGATTTTGAAGGGCTTTGGATGTTGTAGAGTATAAAAAAATATTAGACCCATATTTTTTTATCAGCGTATCTCAAGGTTAGGGGGTGAAAATTAATGAATGAGGGTAGGGGAAAGTTAAAAAATTTGTTATTAAAAAAATTGAATACACCATTATATAGAGCACAAAATACCATAAAACTTTTGTATTAAACATTTTTTAATATATCGTATAGTTTCGAAGATGTTTGCTAAAAATGATAAAATCTATTTTTTCCGAGGAGGTGTTTCACCCCCTAAACCTTGAGATACCTTTTAATACCTGATAAAAAAAATATGAGTCTAATATTTTTTTATATTCTACAACATATTCAAAACCCATCAAAATCGGTGAGGGACAGTTCCGACGGTTCCCTTGTTAGAGTTAATTACCATATGTTGTTAGTAATATAGGGTTTGTAGTGACATATTTTACATACATGGGTAAAACATACCAAAAACGCAGATTTATTTTAATGTCAGTTCATGTGTAAAAAATAATAGTAATTATAGTATTAATGCAAAAGTAAAATAATAACACTGTCCAACAAAATTTGATCTGTATTTCCTGCGGCGATCACAACAAGTATTTTTTAGTAAAAAAAGTCACTGAATTCAAATCCGCCAGCGAAAGATGTCCACTACGTCAAATTTTTTAAATAAATCGAGTAATATAAGCCAAAAACGGCGTTTTTTTACCATTTTTAGTAAGACAGTTTGTACTCACAATTTTTCTAAGAGAGATTGTATTCAAAATTCTTTATTACAATAATGATTAATTAACATAAAAAATTATAGAACATGTCATTTTTATGATTACAAAGAAATTGCGATTTGTAATGCCAAGAACTAATAAAAAACAAAGCAGATCATGGCAGAATTAAATAAGATGTTGTATGACGCATGATACGGCGGTACGATCAATCAAAAATCGCCTTTAAATGCTAGCACGACTTTCATTTTTCTAAAATTTTTCTATTTATATATATATATCAATTGCATTTAGGTGGAAAATGTATGCACGCTATTTTGCTGTTGCGCATCTTTGAAAATACAACACCTTGTCTATTCCTTCATGAAATAAAATAACAAAAATTTACTCACCAACTTTATTTTCTTAAAAAGCGTTGTAATAAACACGATGCTTTAAGGGCACAGCAATCTACAGTAAAAATAAGAGAATATCTTGTCATGTACTAATTGAGTTTAAACTTTTTAACAATCAATCTTTATGACAATCGGCCTCGGTCTCTCCTACATTGCTTGTTTCGGTCCTTCTTGATTCCAATTTAAATAAAGTTGATGATGATCTGAAAATATAATTTGCCAAGAACATTATTATTTTAGTGGCTTCCAGACACATGCTGGAACATATTGGCGAGGATATTAATGAAAATTTTAATCTGAAGCCCCACAAGATAAATGACAATGATTACAACAAAGCTCTTAGTTGCTTACGCAAGCATCTGCATGTAATAAAGTACGTGTTATTTTTATTAATTCTAATAATGTGTACTCTACGTTCTATTGTTTGTAACTGCGCTCAAATTTCGCTGCAGATTCGCGGAATTGATTGATTCCACGTTTGCCAATATATTCTTGGTCAGCGTTAGTTTAAATATGATCGGTGGCAGTATATGCGGTATTCAGGTATGCTCCGATTTCTTTATGTTATATTCCACAATGAGAATTATTGCAGCGAAAGAGAAGAATTTTTTTATCTAATAGTATTAATATCTTCTGGGGGGTCTGGATGTTTTTCTCTCGAATCATTGAAAACTCTTAATATAATAATACGGAAATAGAGAATACGAAAGGGAATGTATGTTTCAGGTGCTGATGAATCTAAATGACGCGAAAGACATAGTAGCACCCCTCGCTATCTACATTGCTCAACTCACCCATCTTTTCTTTCAATTTTGGCAGGCTCAATTTTTATTGGATTACAGCGTCGTTCCGTACGAGTCGATGTAAGAAATCAAATCCTTTTGGGCTCATTCAAGAGCTCTCGTTATCCTTTTGGAACATCAACATTCCAAAGATCGAAAAGATGCATGAACTGCAAACATAAATAAACTTTTCAGTTTTACTGCTATTCATTAATCATGATTTGAATCGTAGTTGCAGAGCAAATTGGTATTACACCTCGGAAAGATGTAGAAAACTTTTGCTGCTAATCATGAGTAGAACCATATTACCATGCAGAATAACTGCTGGCAAAGTGGCGACTCTATCCATTGAAAGTTTCGGCGTGGTAAATATAACTTTATTGTTTGTTAGTTTTTTAAATTTTCTTACATTTTTAATCTTAAGATATAAATAGTGATGTTTCTCTTTAAAGGTTTTGAAAACGTCAATGTCCTATTTTACGATGCTGCGCTCTTTCCATTAACAGTTTCAACGTGCGTATGCAGACCAGCTTGTTGAGAAAACTATACAAGCCATATTTGCACGTGGATCATCGTGATACATTTACGTAACAATTAACCTGAGTTATTATTTAATTGTTAAAGATATCGAAAATATAAAATTTTATGCTAACAAATCTCAAAAATCTTTTTTCTTATTATACTCAAGAACTGTGAACACCATAAAGAGAAACGCCATATGATTGCTTTCGCAATAATTAATACAATTGTCTAAGAATAAAATTCTTTTAGACGTAACCCAATCCGTAAGTTATACTTTTGTGGGGATCAGAGTGATTCAGACATGAACGAATGAAAATATTGCTAAAGAAATATCTTAAAAATATAGATTTTTCTTTTATATAATTTCTAATGTTTGAAAATTATTATTTTATGCTTAATATATGCCTCAGTGTGTAATTATTTATAAATAAAATTTTTTTAGATCTATAAATTTTTATTAAATTTAAGTATGGGTTAAATTAATCCTCACGCGAACATTTACATATACAAGTAGGTATATATATATATATATATACTTATGGATTAATAACTCAATTTATTATTAGCTTTATTCGATGCACGGCGAGAACTCTATTGATTCTATCGTACCGAGTTGTCACTCTTCGCAAAACTGCGATCGAAAGTTGTGTAGTAGGAACTTGCATTGAAGGGTGACATAATTATATGTCGCGGGAAATAATCGCATAATGTCATAATTACGATCATGCAATGCTGCGACATAAGGAATTGATAATAGCTATTTTCGCAGCTTGCCGAGTGACGAGTTCACAAGAAATCGTCTATAATTCGTAGCTTAGTGTTCCTGAAAATGGATGAGCGAAAGAACGTTTGGCAAAGTCGCTTTTATACAATTCCTAAAGCGTACATGAGCTTAGTAGGAATATGGCCTTATCATAAGTTTCGCGACAGGTGTTTTCTCTTTGTGCCGATGTTTATATTTTCCATCACCATTCTTATACCCCAAGTATGTAGCCACTAATTGTATCACTTGTCTTTTCTTTTTATCCTGCAACAACATCATCCAAATATATCAATGTATATATTTATATTATATTAGTATATTAATTAGATATAATATAATATATGTTTCATATTGTGTTATATATTAATATGTATTAAAATATAATGCATTGTATAATATTGATGTATAGTTATTGTATCTTCTAATCGCTGCGACGGATCTCGACGATGTATTCTCTTGCACACCATCGATGTGGATCACCATAATATTCAGTTTTAAATTAGGGTGGTTGATGATGAACAATAAGAAAGTATGTGATTATTGCACATGAATTCAATGATGTGATTAACAAGATAGAAATTTTGATCGAAAATTCTTGATGGAAAATTTAAGGGTTGAATCTTTTAGCGATATTCCTACAGACTTCTATAGATAGACTGCCGACTTCATATTTGAAGACAGCGCTGGGCAGCGTCATATTTATGTTAATACTAACATAAGTGTATGTTCATTCACTCTCACATGTATAAATCACACGGATAATAACGTTAGTGTTTTCATATAAATTCACGCGATACTCACAGACAGAACGCATATGTGAACTGAAACAAGTACAGCTCGGAATCAGGTTCATCTCTTTTTATCATATTGAATCAGCAGTCTAGTTATAAAAGTCTGTGGATATTCCGTGTGTAATATGTGTAGTTTTCTTCTTTTTTTTATTAGCTGCAATTAAATTTTTAATTCCGGTATTACAATATTATCAATATCGCAAAACATACGGGCGCGCCTTATATTTATAGTTGAAGACCTGTCTAAAAATAATGGAGGACGATTGGTTATCATTGAATACGGATGTAGAAAGAATCATTCTACAACGTCACACCGCATATGGACGATACATCACGCTAACATATGGAAGTATGTCGTGGAAACTGCTTTAGAAGATATCACACTCTTTTTTTGAAAACCAAGCGATCTAACGCTTTAATGCGTATATCGATATTCAGTCTTCATGCAGTTCCTGGGAATCCTTCTCATCTCGAAGTCAGTCGTGGTGATGCTGCTGGAGGATACTTCGGATGCGACGATATCTTCTCTAGTGGCGGAAGCGAAACTACCTCTTCGCGTGGAATATGGAGAAACGTTAAACCAATATTTGTATCCGATGGCGGTACATTGTTATCTAGCCGTATTCTCCCACATCAGCATCACGATCGCAGTTGATTCTTGCTACATCGCTCTGATTCGGCACGCGTGCGGAATGTTCGCGATTGTTGGGTAAGAGTATCATACTCGTAATTGATAATTACAAATTGAAATATGATAAGAAAGGTGAACATAAGCGATACCGCGTCCATTCGACCTGTAAGTACAATCTAATACTTCGTCATGCATCTTTGAACCCGCTTCGAACCCAGTCCGGATAAAAAAGTGGCTGGTTTCGATCTCGCCAGGAGTATTATCTTTTGAGCGGCTTTCCAGACACACGCTGGAAAATATTGGTAAAGACAGCAACGACAATTTTGATCTGAAACCCGACAAGGTAAACGACGATAATTACAACAGAACTTTCGGCTGTCTGCGCAAGCATCTGCATGTGATACAGTGCGTGTTAATGGTTTCATAATTAATTGTATTGTACATCTTTAATCTCTATATTGCCTTTAATCGCGTTTAATTTTTCGCGATTTCATAGATTCGCGGAATTGATTGAGTCTACGTTCACAAATATATTCCTAGTCAGCGTTTGCCTGAATATGATTGGCGGTAGTATGATTGGCATTCAGGTATGTAAATTTCTATTATTTCATAATAAAATTTTCCGTCAAAGAGAATTTTGCAAGCGAAAAGAAATCGACATTTGGCAAAAATAATTCATACTTAACGAAAACTTTTAGAATTTCTGGACTGTATTGACACGTATATTTCAGGTGGTCTTAAACTTAAACGACGCAAAGGATATCGTAGAACCCTTTGCTATTTATATCGCGCAACTCATTCATCTCTTCCTACAATTCTGGCCAGCTCAATTTCTATTAGATTACAGTATCCTTCCTTACGAATCAATGTAAGAACATAATTTTTTTTAATAAATTATCGTTTATTATATAATAATTTTTCTAGACATGTGTAATTCATAATCTTTCCATAATTTTTTTGAATTTGTTTTACAAACATATATTAACAATAAATTTTTTTTTCACTTAAAATTACACTCAAGTAATCTTGTTCCGAACTGTAGTTGCAGATCAAATTGGTATTACACTTCAAGAAGATGTCAAAAACTTCTTTTTTTAATCATGAATAGGAGTTTGTTACCATGCAAAATAACTGCTGGTAAGATCGTGCCTTTGACTATTGAAAACTTTGGCGCGGTAAGACAATTGCACTAGTATATTCACTATTCTTATTTCCGCAATTTTTTAATTTCTATGCCTTAATTTCTATGTAAAAAACTTTGATTTCATTTTTCTCAAAGGTTCTAAAAACAATGATGTCTTATTTCACGATGCTACGTTCCTTCAAATGACGACTTCAACGTATTTTTCTGCAGTTTTTATAAAGTTATAAAATTCATGTAGGTATTTACATATAATTTGCCATGACAGTTTCAGCAAGCGATAGATTTGAGTAAATTTAAAGGTATCAGAAATATATGATAAAATATTTTTTACGATAACAAATCTTATATCTTTTATTACAATCAAAAATTTTAATATATTAGGGCAGTTAACCGAAACGTAACGAATGAAAAATTCAGACATTGAACTCAACTAATATGTTAATAATTAGATAATTATCTTGATTAGCAAGACACTTCTTCCATTGTGAAACTAAACGACGGATGCTCTGTTCATAAAATTCCTCGAACCGAGATTACATCCACTCGTAAATAGCTTCCTGCACTGCTGCATCTGATATAAATTTTCTGCTTTTCAGATCCTTCTTTAGCACCCCCCCCCTATTTTGTAATTTTTAACTTTTAACGACAGTTCAATAATATTAAATTGTCATTGCGCAGCTTTATAACCATGTATATATGTCCGCAATGACAATATAACAATATCGAACTGTTGTTAAAAATTACAGATTTGCGATACAGATCTCCAAAAATGTAGAAATTGCAGACAATTCCAATGGGAAATACTGGAGCCCGGCCTACAGCCCAGACTTGTCTCCATGCGATTTCTACGTTTTTGAAGACCTGAAGAAAAAACAGGAATTTTCGTTGGAACAGTGCAGGAAGCTATTTAAAAGTGAATACGATTCCAGTTCAAAGAGTTTAATGAATAAGAGATATCCGTCGTCTAGTTCTAGGATACCCGACGTTACGCTCTAGTTTCACAATGAAACAAGTGCCTTGCCAACCATGGTGATGATTATTAACATGTTAGTTGATTTCATTGTCGTGAGTTTTTTGTCCAGTACTTTCATTTGACTGCTCTATATTAAAAGAAAATCATTATACGATTCTTTTTGTAATAATCATTTAAGAAGAAAATCTTTGTAGTTACAGTTTAGAAATTTAATTTGGCACACACTATTAATTTATTACGAGAAAGAATTATTGCTATTAAAATTGAACGTATTATTAATTATTTTCAAATCTTTAGTATTTAAAACTATGTATTGTTTTATTTCAATAATTTTATGTAACTTCAATAGTTGTGTGTGAATATGTATACAAAGAATTATTTAGATATCAAATATTGATTTTTTTTTAATCTAAAAATGATGTCTTCCTTTATAATATTACGTTCCATCTAATAATGATATCATAGAAATATCTATATATAATCCATGTGTTATTTTCTTTACCATAAGGAAAATTCTTTACCATAAGGAAATTATTCGACAGCATCCTTACAAATCAATATAAGAATATAATTTGTTTTAGGGAATTATTGTAATTTTTTTTAGACATCTGATACATGTAATTCACTATTTTTGAATTTTTTACGAACATGACATATTAATAATAAATATATTTGGCTTTATTATATATTTTAAATAGAGAGACAATGAAATGATTCGAAAATCACGTATATGTGTGAACTCTTGAAACCACATTTTATTAACATTACTGTATTTTGTCAATTTTACTTCTAACATTTCAGAAATTTCAGAGTTTGTAGAAGTTAGATTAGACTATTACAACGTTTCATGTCTCTCTTAAAATAACAACATTTCACCTTTCTACACTATTCATTACCTTCTATTTATTTTTTCAATCATTCGAAATAAGATTCAGAGTTCAGTCCTCTTTATAATACAAGATAAATAAATATAAAAGTGTTCACTAGAAATCGCATTCAAAACCAGTTTATTTAAGACACATATTAATATGGAATATGAAAGTAAAAGAAAATGTCAAAGAGAAATGTTAAACAACGGGTTTAAAAATGTAAAAGGGAAAGGATTGAAACATAGATAAATAATCGCTCGCTTATTCCTCAGCGACTTCAACGAACCTCAATTACGATACTGTCGCCGAATAGGGAATGAAAACAATCGATAAGTAATTTTCTGTAGTTTATCGAACACACACAGAACAGTTGATATAGTCCGCAATCATCTTATTCTGAAAAATGTTCGACACAAAAGACGTTGAACAAAACCGACGTTACGCTCTTCTTAGATTATACCTGACCATCTCTGGATTATGGCCATATCATAATCTTCGCGACAGATGTATTCGCTTCGTACCGTTCTTTGTGTTCTCCTTCAGTATTGCGATACCTCAGGTATATACATTGAAAAGTTCGCAAGAAAGGATTCATTTATTTATTGCAAAGTTATTGATTGTATATATTTTTCTTTGAACGATCAGAAATATATTTATATGTAATTATCCAATGAACCCTGCTAATCATTGAATAGTATTAAAATGATGTGATAGGGTTAATGAGAACTCTCATCATAGTAATTAGAAAGAGAGAGCAAGAGAGAGAGAAAAGAGAAAAGAGAGAGAGAGAGAGAGAGAGAGAGAGAAAGCAAAAGTTGCGTATATTATTTTTAATATGAGTGTATTTCCTATGTGAATATACGTATTCGTTGTCCTCTTCTCCAAACTCACATGATTACGGACGAACGTTTCGGTCATTGTTTGTCTCATTACTGTGGTGAAAACTCTCATTAATCCTATCACATCATTAAAACTCTCATTAATCCTATCACAATTAATATTGTTTATTTAAAATATTGAGAGTCCATTATATAATATATTGTCATTCTTTTAATTTTATTAATTAAATATTTACACGCGTGCGCACACATTATAAATTTTTGAAGTATACATGAATAACTTTAATACAGAAGGCTGAAAGAGGAAAGAAAGAGGACAGACAACATAAATTTTCATGTAATTAATCAAAAGTAATTGTAAATCCGTAAATGTATGAAATTAAAATAATATATGTATATATATGTAATATTTTCTATTATATATCTTTTCGGTTATAAAAATTATACAAAATTGACAAATTATACAAAATTGACAAATTATACAAAATTGACTAATTTCGTCATTACGTTTCACTTACTGATTTTAATATAGGTACTTTATTTACTAATTGGCTCGGTAACTCTCGATGACGTGTTCGAGAGTCTGCCATCTCTAATTATCAGTATACTATTCAGCTTTAAATTATTGGTTATAATGTTAAATAATGAGAAAGTAAGTGATGAATTTTCAAACTTGCATTACCATTTCACTTTTATACGAAAAAATGTTACAACGGCAAGAATATGGGATGTGTTTAGGTAAAGATTTGTCTTAACACAATACGAAAGGACTGGCAGTCAATAAATACAGATGTAGAAAGAATTATTCTGCAACGGCATACAAGATATGGACAGTATCTGGCGACATTTTATGCAGGTGTGTATAATTGTAGAAACTTGTGTCAACTTCTTGAATGCACACATATACCTATATAAGTGCAATGTGCATTTTGGATCATGTTCTCCACGATCTTCTGAAATATTATTGTACCTTAAAAAAAATATTTCTTAAAGAACATACTGCGAAAAAAATCGATTTTTAAACATATTTATAAATATATGCCTTAAAGATCTTTCTACGAATATCGTTCTCTCTAGTTTTCGTGCATACGATGACGAGCCTTTTTATGCTTAAACCAATCATAGTGAGTCTGATTACGGATGATATCTTCAATACAACAAAATCTTCTATACCAATTGCATCGAGATTGCCCTTTAACGTTGAATACGGTGAAAAATTCAATCAATATATATATCCGATAGCAATGCATAATTATATGGCCGTGTTTACTCGCTCGTTCGCCACAATAGCGGTTGATAGCTTATACTATGTTTTAATTCAACATGCTTGTGGAATGTTCTCGATTATCGGGTAAGCTCTTTTAATCATGAAAAGACAACAATACTCTTCTTAAGTTGCTATTAATTTCTTCGATGACTTATAATATAAAAATCTGAATTTATCAAAAGCATCGATATTTTTTACATTATAGAAATGTACTTGAGAACATTGGAAAAAATAACGCGAACGATTTCAATGCGAAATCGGATAAGATTAAAGACAACAATTATAGCAAAACTTTACACTGTTTGCGTAGACATCTCGATGTGATAGAGTATGTATGAAGAAATATTAAACGACGATAACCATTTCTGATGTTAAGTAATATTTACATATTAATTTACATGTAATCGTTTAGTGTTCTCATTTCACAGATTTGCGGAAAATATCGAATCATTATTTACAAAGATATTTCTGATGAATCTTAACTTAAATATGATCTGTGGCAGTTTTTCTGGTATACAAGTACATATCAACTTTTCTTTTTTATATTACAAATAATTTTGGACGGAGATTTTTATTATATTTTAATGACAACGAACAAAAAATTACGAAAGAAAAATAATTTCCATGTCTATCTTCATAATCAGGGTAAATTTGATCAGTGCGACAATAAAAAAAAAGGAAAATAAGTTAAATGTTCATTTCAGGTGTTAATAAATTTAGAGAAGAACGCAAGTGATATCTCCGTGCCCATAATTATCTATCTTGCACAATTCATCCATTTGTTTCTTCATTTCTGGAACGCACAATTTTTACTTGACTACAGCGTTCTGCCATATAAGTCTATGTAAGAATGCAAGTTAATTCAAGTCTATTCCTTCATAATTTATTTACCATTTTTCGGATTTTTTTTCCTTTCTTTAGCCATCTAAAAAGGCTTGTATCAAAATATATATATATGGTTTTTTATACTTTTGGCGCATATTTACAATTGTCACAAATAATTTTGCGCTTATAATTATTTGAATTCTGATGAAATTCCTTCATATATAACATATACAAGAAGAATGAAAACATAAATTATAGTTTTCTATAATATATATGTTGGATGTCAAAATACAAACTTAACAGAAACACAAACACTTAGTTTAATATTAATATAAAGGTTTGTTATATTTATTACTTTAATTCATATTTATTTTATTTCCAATAATAGCTGCAGAGCGAATTGGTATTATACTTCGCAAAGATGTCAAAAACTCCTTCTCTTGATCATGAACAGAACGACGTCACCATGCAAAATCACAGCCGGCAAAATAGTGATTCTATCTATTGAAAGCTTCGCTACGGTAAGTATAAAGTATATTGTATTCTTATATATACATATTTTCAATTATTTTGTTGTATTTAATTTATTTTTTAAAGGTTCTAAAAACATCTTTATCTTATCTCACTATGTTTCGTTCTCTTCAGTGATGATTTGGCGCATGAATAATTTATTCAAAACTGTCTAAGTTAAAATACATCTCTTTAATACAATAAAAATTGTATGTATTAAAGGATTTTGCTTTTCTTTTTTATAATTCTTAATATTTTTTTCAATTTTATAACAACTAAAATATAAATATTAAATGTATAAATATAAGTGTATGCATACATTTTTTAACTTAATTTTGGATTTTTCGAACCGCCTTAAAATATATATATATATATATATATAAACATCCGCTCTTTTAAAAAAAATTTGCTCCATATTATATATATATCATATGTAACATTACATAATTATGTAAGTTAATTGTTTATCGACATAAGCTACACATATATAGTATATATATATAATATAAATAAAATATATATATATATTATTAACAAGATTTGAAAACTTATCTTTCTAATTAACAGTGGTGAAGAACGAAGAGACAATTCGAAAATTATTTGTGATTAAACTAATAATATGGCATATTTTCACATGCGTTTGTCACTTCTGCTATTTACTTTCTCTAACACAGGTATATACAGTTTTCTCTAACACAGGTATATACAGTTTTCTCTAAAGCAGTATAAGATTCTACCTTTTCCAAGACGAGATAAAATCGTAATGGAATATAAAATTAAAAGAAAATGTCCCTTCAAAGAGAAATGATATACAATGGCTTTAAAAATGTAAAAGAGAGATGATTGAAACACAGTAGGTAATCGTCCGCTTATTTCTGAGCGCAATTACGATACTGTTACTGAATAGGAGATGAAAGAAATCGATAAGCAATCTTTCGTAATTTGTTGAAAAATTAAACGCTGAATGTTGACTTTCATATAGAGAATAGTTGATATAGTCCGCAATCATCTTATTCTGAAAAATGTTCGACAAGAAAGACGTTGAGCAAAACCGACGTTACGCTGTTCTTAGAACATACCTGACCATCTCAGGATTATGGCCATATTATAATCTTCGCGACAGATGTATTTGCTTCGTGCCATTATTTGCATTCTGCTCTAGTATTGCAATACCTCAGGTATATACATTCAAAAGTTAGCAAAAAAAATTTGTTTATTATACTGCAAAGTTATTGATTGTACACTTTCTTTCTTTGAACAATCAGAAATGTATTGATATACAATTATCCAATGAATCTATTAATCAACTATGCACGCGCACGTACATGTTAAATTTCATTAAATTTTTTAAATATATATAAATAACTTTAATCCAGACACGGTAATGTCTCGGTGCTAAGAAAAACGCATAGCGTTTTATAATAAGACGGTAGAAAGAGAACAGAGAAAAAACAGACACATAAGATAAATTTTGATGTAATCAAATGTAATTATAAATTAGTGAATGTATAAAGTTACAATAATATTAATAATATGTTGTATAATGTAATTCTTTTTTTTCTCGTATAATTGATTGAACACATAAAATCATTATATATCTCTATTTATATTTATATTATATAATTTTATTATAAATTCTATAAACACAACACGATCAATTTTGTTATTATATGTTTTACTTTATATTAATTCCAACACAGGCGCTTTACTTATTAATTGGCTCGATAACTCTTGATGACGTGTTCGAGTGTTTACCAGCTCTAATTATCAGTATAATATTCAGCTCTAAATTAATGATTATAATGTTAAATAGTAAGAAAGTAAGTGATGACTCTTCAAACCCGCATTAACACTTGACTTTTATGCAAAAAAATGTTACAATAGCAAGAAATACGGCGGCATGTGTTTAGGTAAAAATATGTCTTAACATAATACGAGAGGATTGGCTATCAGCAAATACAGATGTAGAAAGGATTATTCTGCAACGACATACAAGGTATGGGCAATATTTGGCGGCATTTTATGCAGGTGTGTACAATTATAGGAATATAGCGTGTATTTATTTTGGATTACATCCTTCGCGATTTTACGAAACATTATTTTATTGCTTCAAAAAATTGCTTATTAAGAGTGTACTAATCGAAAAAATTGACCTTTGCGGTTTATGTGTACACATCATAAAAATAACTTAAGAAAAAGATCTTGCTGAAATTATTATTTTCTTTAGCTTTCATGCATGTGACGTCGGGTCTTTTTATATTTAAACCAATCATGCTGACTCTGATGGCGAATGATATCTTCAATGTGACAAAATCTTCTATACCAATTGCATCGAGATTACCATTTCGTGTTGAATACGGAGAGAAATTCAATCAATATGTTTATCCAATAACAGTACATAGTTATACAGCCGTGTTCGCTCACACGTTTGCCACAATCGCGGTTGATGGCTTGTACTATTGTTTAATTCAGCATGCCTGTGGAATGTTCTCAATTATTGGGTAAAATCTCCCTTGATCATGAAAAGGGATGCCTTTCTTGAATTGCAATTAATTTCTTCAATAACTCATAATCTCGAAGTCTCGATTTGCCAAAAGCGTCGATATTTCTGGTATTACAGAAACACATTGGAGAACATTGGCAAAAATAACGGCAACATTTTTGATACAAAACAAGCTAAGATACAGGACAGTAATTACAGTAAAACTTTATACTGTTTACGTAGACATCTCCTTGTGATAGAGTACGTTTGAAAAGATATTTGTAAAAAGATTGTATAACATCTATCCATTTCTACCGTTGATATTGATGTATACATATTAATTTACATATATTCGTGTAATATTGTCATTATTTCATAGATTTGCGGAACATATCGAATCGTTATTTACGAAGATATTTTTAATTAATCTTAATTTAAATATGATCGCTGGAAGTTTAACCGGTATACAAGTACGTATCAATTTTTCCTTTTTATATTACGAATTAATTTAGAACGTACAAGGATTTGTTACATTTTAACAACATTATGAAAAAATAATCTTTAGTAACCACATTTTCATAAGTGGCAAATTTTTCCAGTGCGATCGTCAAAATAAATATGAAAGTAAGTTAAATGTGCATTTTAGGTGTTAATGAATTTAGACAAGAGCGTAAATGATGTCGCTGGGCCGGCAACTATCTATATTGCACAATTCCTTCATTTGTTTCTTCATTTCTGGCAAGCTCAATTTTTACTTGACTACAGCGTCCTTCCATATGAATCTATGTAAGAGTGCAAATTAAATCATGTTGATTCTTTCATAATTTAATTACATCATTTTTTATATTGTTTTCTAGAGCTTTGGAAACATCAGATGACTGAATAATTCAGACAGTTAGAATCTCAAGATCAAACGTTAAATAGTTCGAACAATTCGATCAATTCGTGTTTAAGTAGTGATCGGTAAAAAATGTCAATTAATTATGTCCGAAGTTCGGACAGTTCGGACAGTAAAACATGTTTATAAGATTTATATAATTTTAAGGTGCGATTCTTATTATTAAACCGAGTTATCACAGAAATGTCTAATTTTTTTATGTAATGAAGTTAAAATACTGAACTTGACGTGTGCAAAATTCTAAGGTAGGTTAACGATGAAATAAGAGAGAAAAAGATGTTACAAATGTAACTTTTAATGTATAACTTATAATTAATAACTGGTAAAAAGATTGGAAACGATTCTTTGACTAACTGAACATAAATACTATCATAGATTTCTCTAAAAAATGAAATTATAATAGTTCAAAGAATCACATTTTAACATTTGTAATGGTCACAAAAAGTAATAGGTCAACGGTCTGGAAAGATATTTACATTTACATGCATAAACTTGCATACAAATGTAATCTCGAAAGTAAACATATTCTCACCTTGTTTTCGTTTGGTAAAGATGCAGCTCTTAATTTACACTGTTCAAAGAATTAGGAGATCACTTTTCCTCAGTAAATTTTCAGCACGATACCGCCGGCATTTGCGTAATCCGATGTGTACCACGAGAAAGTTGCTCGGTCGAATTCTGCACATCAAACAAATATTCGTGCAAAAGTTTATTTGGATTCACTCATTCGTTTAAAAATGATTAACCTAAAAAACAGAAAAATATGATTATTTTGTTGCATACAACCATTATAAGCCAAATTATTTGTTATTTTATTTTTTGCAATTGATTTCAGAATATATTTACGGGCTCATATCATCAAAATTTTTTAAATGATATTGGCTAATATCAGCTTATTTTGATTGATTGACTGTTATTTCTAGCTGATATTGTACAGCTAAAACATTCTTAATATTTTATCTAAATTGTACACGGAGAGAATTTTTTTTTTAAATTTACCCTGAAAATATGGTAGAGTTGTGATACAATACAATATTTTAAAGATTTTTACCATGCACTTCAGTAAAATTGATCAAACTTATTTTATACCTTATTGTAGTTAGATTAATGAATGAGAAAGATTTACATTAAAATTCTTCGAAATACAATGTTGTCCCACGAACTCATATTTTCAGGTTAAATTCTAAGAAAAAATTCTCTCAGTGTACAGATATTTGTGATTTTGGGTAGGCCCTGGTAAGGCATCCCAAATTTTCAGCATTTTACTAAGCAATCACCTCAAAAAGAAAAGATTTTTTCGTAAAGAACTACTCTTCCCAAGGTACTACATTTTTTTGAATTGTCCGAACTTCAGACATAACTAAACTGACAGTTCTAACCGATTACTGCTTAAACCCTAATCATAATCCTAACTATTCGAAATGAACGTTCATCTTTTTTACTTTGAACAGATCGAATACTTTCGATTAATATGTTTTATTCTTTTGTTTGAGATTTTTTCCTTTTTCTAAACCATCGAGAAAATATCAAAACGAATGATTTTTTTATATTTTTGGCGTACCTATTATTTATATTATTGCTAACTAAAAATAATCGTACACTTATTTTAATTCTGGTATAATTATAATTCCTTCATATGTAATATATACAAGGTGAATCTAGAGATAGATGCTTTCTGTGTTGAATATTAAGATAAAGATTTAACACAAATATTCGATTTATTATTAATATAAGTTTATTATTAATCGTTTTAATTTATATTTGTCTTATTTCGAATAATAGCTGTAGAGCGAATTGGTATTATACTTCGCACAGATGTCGAAAACTCCTTCTCCTAATCATGAACAGAACGACGTCACCATGCAAAATCACCGCTGGCAAAATAGTGATTTTATCTATTGAAAGCTTCGCTACGGTAAGCGTAAAATTGTATCGTTATGTTTCCAAATTACATTGTTGTAATTGTAGCTTACTGAAGGATTTTTTATTTTTTGAAGGTTGTAAAAACGTCTCTATCTTATCTCACTATGTTTCGTTCTCTCCAGTGATCATTTGACGCATGAATAATTTATTCAAAATGTTTAAGTTGAAATATATATCTTTAATACAATAAAAATTGTATGTATTATACGTATTTTTCTTTTCTTCTTTATAATTTCTGATATTTTTCTTCGATTTTATGACAATCGAAATATAAATATTATACGTAAATATAAGTAGGTATATGCATACATTTCCTCATAATAAATAACATCACTTTTGCTCCATACAGATATAGTTGAACCTTTCACAATATCTAGAAGCTTACTTATGTACTGTATAGTCCACTCTTAAATTGAAAACTTTTAATATTTTACTTGTTTTTGATGAGATGAAAAAATGTTCGAATGAAAGTGGAACAGTTCCGAAAAGAACATATTTTGGTCACATTTTTTTCTAAGTGGAAGAGTTAAAAAGATATGAAGATAACTTTCACTGTTTTAAAAAAATGGAAAAATTTTTTTAAATAATATGGTTCTCTTGCACATAGATATTAAGTTAGAGAGATACTGAAAGACCAGTGGGTATACAAATATTTTATACTCTGGCATATATTGACACAAAATATTAAATATTTCGTAAACTATCAATTTTTTTATAATCGTACATTAATATTTTTATTAAATAATTTATTTTATAAAATTATTCATTTGACCTACACACACACACACACACAGACACATATATATGCATATACAAATTTTTAGAAAAGAGCGAACTTACATACGAATATATATGTGTGTGCATGTAAGAATATATATGTGTGTGTAAGTTCGCTCTTTTCTAAAAACTTTTTGATCAGTGTAACTTTACATACGTATGTAAGTTAACTGTTTATCGATGTAAGCTACACGTATGTAATCAACCGATCGAACATTCCGAAGAACTTACCCTTCTAATTAACAGTGTAGAAGAACGAAGAAACAATTCGAAAGTTATTTGTGATTAAACTACAATAATATATCATATTTTCATGACGTTTGTCATTTCTGCTATTTATTTTCTCTAAAAGAGATATATACAGCTTTCTCTAAAGCAGTATAAGGTTTTACGTTTTCCAAAGAGAAAATAAAAGCATGAGATACGTAATTTAAAATTAAAAGAAAGTATCCCTTCAAAGAGAAATGATAAGCAACAGCTTTAAAAATGTAAAAGAGAAATGACTGAAACATAATAGTTAATCGCCCGGTTATTTCTCAGCGCAATTATGATAATGTTGCTGAATAGAAGATGAAAGAAATCAGTAAGCAATCTTCTGCAATTTACTGAAAATTGAACGTTGAATGTTGACGTTCACATAGAATAGTCGATATAGTCCGCAATCATCTTATTTCGAAAAATGTTCGACAAGAAAGACGTTGAGCAAAACCGACGTTACGCTGTTCTTAGATTATACCTGACTATTTCAGGATTATGGCCATATTATAATCTTCGCGACAGATGTATTTGCTTCGTGCTGTTGTTTATATTGTGCTCTAGTATTGCGATACCTCAGGTATATACATTTAAAAGTTAACAAAAAAGGAATTTATTTATTGTGCCGCAAATTTATTGATTGTACATTTTTTTTCTTTGAGTAATCAGAAATATATCAAATGCAATTTTTTTTTTATCCAATGAATCTATTAATCAACTATGTACACGCACACACGCATGTTAAATTTCGTTAAATGTTTAAAGTACATATGAATAACTTTAATCAGACGGCAGAAAGAGAACATTATATATTATATATAATTCTATTATTAATTCTAAAAATACAACATATTATTAATTTCGCTATTATACGTTTTACTTTATACTATTTCCAACATAGGCGCTTTACTTATTAATTGGCTCGATAACTCTCAATGACGTGTTCGAATGTCTGCCATCTTTAATTATCAGTATAACATTCAGCTCTAAACTATTGATTATAATGTTAAATAGCGAGAAAGTAAGTGACGAATTTTCAAACTTGCATTAACACTTGACTTTTATATGAAAAAAATGTTACATTAGCAAAAAATACGGCAGCATGTGTTTAGGTAAAGATTTGTCTTAACATAATTCGAAAGGATTGGCTATCAATAAATACAGATGTAGAAAGGATTATCTTGCAACGGCATACAAAGTATGGGCAATATTTAGCGGCATTTTATGCAGGTATGTACAATGCAGATGTTATAGAAACTTGCGTGTATTTTGGATCATATCCTCCACGATTTTATAAAACATTATTTTATTATTTAAAAAAAAAATGTTTAAAGAGTATACTTATCGAAAAAATATTAATTTTTGTACTTTATGCATATTGATAAAATAACCTAAAGATCTTATGGAGATTACTATTTCCTCTAGTTTTCATGCATATGACAGGGTGTCTTTTCGTACTTAAACCAATCATGCTGACTCTAATGGCGAATGATATCTTCAATGTGACAAAATCTACTGTATCATTTGCGTCGAGATTACCATTTCGCGTTGAATACGGCGAGAAATTCAATCAATATATATATCCGATAGCACTGCACAGTTATATTGCTGTGTTCGCTCACACATTCGCTACAATCGCAGTTGATGGCTTGTACTATAGCTTAATTCAGCATGCTTGTGCAATGTTCTCAATTATTGGGTAAAATCTCCCTTGATTATAAAAAGATGCTTTTCTTGAATTACAATCAATTTCTTCAATAACTCATAATCTCGAAATCTCGGTTTACAAAAAGCATTGATATTTCTTGCATTACAGAAACACATTGGAGAACATTGGCAAAAATAACGAAGAAATTTTTTATGCAAAGCAAGCTAAGATACAGGACAGTAATTACAGTAAAACTTTATATTGTTTACGTAGACATCCTCTTGTGATAGAGTACGTTTAAAATTATATAACTGTATATACCTATTTCTATCATTGAGATATATATATATACATATTTATATATATATGTATATATATATATATTAATTTTATACAATCGTGTAATGACCTGATTTCACAGATTTGCAGAACATATCGAATCATTATTTACGAAAATATTTCTAATTAATCTTAACTTAAATATGATTATTGGAAGTTTAACTGGTATACAAGTACGTATCAACTGATACATATACAAGTACGTATCATCTTTCCTTTTTATGTTACAAATAATTTTAGAGCGTACGAGAATTCGTTACACTTTTACAACATCATGGAAAAATAATCTTTAATAATCGCATCTTCATAATCGCGGCAAATTTCGCCAGTGTGATAGCCGAAATAAATATACGAAAATAAATTAAATGTGTATTTTAGGTGTTAATGAATTTAGATAAAAGCGCAAATGACATCGCTGGGCCGGTAACTATGTATATTGCACAATTCCTTCATTTGTTTCTTCATTTTTGGCAAGCTCAATTTTTACTTGATTACAGCGTCCTTCCATATAAATCTATGTAAGTGTGCAAGCTAATTTAAGTCGATTCTTTCATGTAATTTAGTTACCTTATTTTTCTGATTTATTTCTTTTTTCAAACCATCGAGTAATGCTTGTATCAAAACGTTTAATTTTTGGTGTATTTATAATTATTATAAATAATTACATACTTGCAGTTATTTTAATTCTAATTGCAATTCCTTCATATGTAATATACGATTACTCGGGTATTATGACGATACGAAAAAGATGGCCATAGCCATTAATTGCTAAATAGAGTATTTTTGTAATCGTTCTAAAAGCCTATGGTCATCTTTTTTTAATCATCTTACCCTACACAAGGCAAATGAAAAGATAGATGCAGCTTTCATTATTGAATATCAAAATAAAGACCTAATATTATACAAACATTTGATTTTACTCTCTATTAGTATATAAAGGTTTATTATTATCGTTTTAATTTATATTTATCTTATTTTGAATAATAGCTGCAGGGCGAATTGGTATTATGCTTCGCACAGATGTCGAAAACTTCTTCTCCTGATTATGAACAGAACGACATCACCATGCAAAATCACCGCCGGCAAAATAGTAATTCTATCTATTGAAAGCTTCGCTACGGTAAGCGTAAAATTGTATTGTTATGTTTCCAAATTATATTGTTGTAATTGTAGCTTACTGAGAGATTTTTATTTTTTGAAGGTTGTAAAAACGTCTCTATCTTATCTCACTATGTTTCGTTCTCTCCAGTGATGATTTGGCGCGTGAATCATCAAAACTATCTAAGTTGAAATACATCTTTTTAATGTAATAAAAGTTTTATGTATTATATGTACTTTTCATTTTTTCTTTATAATTTCTGATATTTTTTTTCGATTTTATAGCAACCAAAATATAGATCTATACGTATTAATATAATCGTATGCATGTATTTTATCACAATAATTAGTATCATCTTTTACTTCCATACAGACATACTTACCTTTTTTTTTCGCAATATCTAGAAGTTTACTTATAGATGTTTGTCAAAGAAGTCCGCTCTTCTCTAATAATTTTTGGCCCATGTAACTTTACATAAGTATGTAAGTTAATTGTTGATCGACGTAAACTACATGTAATCAACCGATCAGACATTCTGGAAAATTTATCTTTTTAATTAACAGTGAAGATGAACATAAAGAGACAATTTGAAAATTATTTATGAATTCTACAATCTACGTACATTTTATTAACGTTACATTCGTCAACTTCACTTAAAGGTAAATAAATGTCGAAATTTGTAAAAATGCTCTATTAAATTATATTAAATTAAAAATATATCATATTTTCACGTGTGTCGTTTATCACTTCTGCTATTTACTTTAGTCTAACATGTTATTTGCATTACTCTAACACAGGTATATACAGCTTTCTCTAAAGCAGTATAAAGTTGTACCTTTTCTAAGACGAGATGAAACCATAACGTATTGAATATGAAATTAAAATAAAATATCTCTTCAAAGAGAAACGATAAATAACGGCTTTAAGAATATAAAAGAAAAAAGATTGAAACACAGCGGGTAATTGTCCGTTTATTTCTCAGCGCAATTACGATGCTGTTGCTGAATAGGAGATGGAAGAAATCAATAAGTAATCTTCCATAATTTGTTGAAAATTGAACATTGAATGTCGACGTTCAAATAGAATAGTTGATACATTTCGCAATCTTACTTCGAAAAATGATTGAGAAGAAAGACCACAGTGCACAAAGCCGATACTATAGCGTTGTTAGATTCTATTTGACTATTTCAGGATTATGGCCATATCACAGACTTCGTGATAGATGTATTCGTTTCGTGCCGTTGTTTGCGTTTAGCTTTACTATTCTAATACCTCAGGTATATCTACCGAAAGGTTTGCCAAAGAAGAATCTATCATATATTTAGTGTGCTGCAGAGTTATTGACTGCATGTTTTTTTTTATACGACTAGAAGTTTAATATATTGATATACAGTTATTCATTAAACTATGTGAAAATCACACACACATACGCTTATGCATATACATATGCATAAATTATATTAAATTTTTAAAAGATATAACTTTAATAAGATCCGAAAAAGAAAGAAGGAAAAATAGACTGTTAACAAATTTTGTGTATAATTTATCAGAAGAATAAAAATTTTAAGTGTATTTGGAAAATTATAAGAAAATAAATATATGTGTACGTTGTAAGTACATAGGCTCTTAAATCTTAGAAAAACGATTAATTTATGAATTTCGTGACTGCGTTTAACTTTAATACAGATACTTTATTTATTGATCGGCTCGATAACTCTCGATGACGTGTTCGAGTGTCTACCATCTCTAATTATCAGTATAACATTCAGCTCTAAAATATTGATTATAATGTTAAATTATAAGAAAGTAAGTGATAAATTTTCAATCTTTCATAAATTCTGGACTTTTGTACAAAGAAATATTACAATGGTAAGAAATGTGCGAGCATGTGTTTAGGTAAAGGTTTGTCTTAATATAATACAAAAGGACTGGCAATCATTAAATTCAATAGAAAAGGTTATTCTGGAACGGCATAGTAAGTATGGACAACATCTGGCGACATTTTATGCAGGTGTGTATAATTTAAAGATTGTAAAAATTTAGATAAATATCTTGAACATACACGTATACATAAGCATGTATTCTAGATCATATTCCTTCCAATCTTACAGCATTGTCATTAAACTTTAAAAAAAATTGTATAAAGAACATATTACTTATCGCAAAAAATGAATCTTTTTATTTTAAACATATCGATGAATGTATAATGATTTTAAGATCTTGCGACGAATATCGTTTTCCCTAGTTTTCATGCATACGACGGCGAGCCTTTTCGTAGTGAAACCAATCATGCTGACCCTGATGGCGGATAATGTCAATAAAACTAAATCTTCCATTCCATTCGAGTCGAGATTACCCTTCCGTGTAGAATACGGCAAAAAATTCAATCAGTATATATATCCAATAGCAGTGCATAGTTATGTGGCCGTAGCCGCTCATTCGTTTGCTACAGTCGTGGCTGATGCTTTGTATTATACCCTCATTCAACATGCTTGTGGAATGTTCTCCATTATTGGGTAAAAACGATGTCTCTTGATTATGAAAAGATAACAATGCTCTTCATAAATTTTTGTTTATTTCTTCGACAACTTATAAAATCTTAGTTTTTCAAAGGTGTCTATTTTCTTTGACTTTATAGAAACGTATTGGAAAACATTGGAAAAAATGACACGGATGAGGTTGACACGAAATCAGATAAGATTAAAGACGACAATTATTATAAAACTTTACACTGTTTACGTAGACATCTCGGTGTAATAGAGTACGTAAGAAGAAATATCAAGTAACGACAGCATTTTTGCCGTTGTGTGATATTTCATATTAATTATAATTACTTAGTGTTCTCATTTCGCAGATTTTCGGAACATATTGAATCTGTATATACGAAGATATTTCTGATAAATCTTAACTTTAACATGATTATTGGCAGTTTATATGGTATACAAGTACGTATCAGTTTTTCCTTTGTACGTTGTAAATACTTTTGGTATAGAATGGAATGAGGATTTTCGCGAAGACAAAAACAAATTTGAGAAAAATAATATCATTTTTAGCTTTCATCGTCTTTAATAACCGTAGTTCAATATTTCGAATAGCTATAATAATACGATAGCTGAAAGAAGTGTGAAAAATAATTAAATATGCATTTTAGATGTTGATAAATCTTGACAAGGACGTGAATGACATCGTCGCACCTATTAGTATGTATATTGGACAACTCATTCATATGTTTCTTCATTTCTGGCAAGGTCAATTTCTACTGGATTACAGCATCCTTCCGTACGAATCTATGTAAGAATGCAAATTTATTACATCTATTAAGCTGGCACAGTCACTTCAGCACAATCAAATGCGACCTATATCATATTTTTTTGTTATTTTTTTGCTAATTTTTTGCTCTATTCCCGATTTTTTGCTCCAGCCGAATTAAATAAAATTTATTTAATTCAATAGTCTAATTACCTCATTTTTCTTTTTTTCTTTTTTCTAAGCCCTGGAGAAAGACTTAAATAAAAGTGTATGGTTTATTTTATATTTTAGGCATATTATTTCCAATTGCTATAAATAATCGCACATTCATATTCTCTCTCTCTCTCTCTCTCTCTCTCTCTCTCTCTCTCTCTCTCTCTCTCTCTCTCTCTCTCTCTATATTTTAATTCTAATATTACTGTAATTGATTCTTTATATGTAACATATACAAGACGAATAAAAAAATTGATTTTGTAGTTTACTGTGTTTGGATAGCGAGATAAAAACCTAGTATGAATATAAATATTTACTAAATTTATCGTTAATCATTTTAATTTTAATTTTTCTCATTTTACATAATAGCTGCAGGGCGAATTGGTATTACACTTCGCAAAAGTGTCGAAAACTTCTGCTCCTAATGATGTACAGAACAGTAATACCTTGCAAAATAACAGCTGGTAAATTAATGATTCTATCTATTGATAATTTTGCCGTGGTAAATATATAACTGCATTACTGTATTTTTGTTGTTATAATCGCAATTTACCGAAAAAACTTTTATTTCTTGAAGGTTGTGAAGACTTCTCTGTCTTATCTCACCGTGTTCCGTTCTTTGCAATGATGATTTGGCGCATTTAAATATTCACTCAAAAACTACTTAAATTAAAATGCATTTCTTTAACCCGAGAGTAGTCATCTCATTTTTTTATGTAAACAATCAGCTGGGATGTTTTTATATCCCTATTAATATCAATATTATCAACAATATATTATACATTGATTGTTTTCTGATTTATGTTATCATTTAAAAACGTTATGGATCTAGATTTAATCACATTTTTTTAAAAAAGTAAGTAGAAAGTAAACAAATATTAAACAGAATAAGCACCTTAAATATAAATAGCTTGTTATGACAATATATCTAAAAAATAAAAATTTTAATTATATTATAAGGCGTTTTTATTGCAGGTTTTCGATGGAATTGCATAATAAAAGGTTCGTAAAGAATAGATATTAAAAGAGGAAAAAATATGCTAAACAATATTCATATAAAACAATATTTTACAACATTTTTTCACTGCTGGTGTGTAAAAATATCCCAGATGACTATTTCCGGATTAATACAATAAAAATCCAATTATTAGTACATAACTCGAATTTTTCTTTGATTTTATGATAGTATCAACGTATTAGTTATTACACATACTTCTGTGCAATGTGTGCACTTATGATGCACATTTAGCTATATATTTGTACATATTTTAAGATGCAAGTTGTAGACGAATTTTATATATCTAAAAAAAAGGACGTACAATTCGACAACTAATATGTTGTATGATTATCCGAAATAAAGGTGCATAAAAAAAACATTTAACTGCAATTTCCATAACAATGCGCGAAAATACGCGTGTGTTTGTAACAGTGTGTAAAAATACGTACATGCATGTTCGATTGTAGTACAAGCTAGAAAGGTTAATTAGTTCTTGAGCATCGGCAATTATAATTTCGCATATGCGTATTTCGATATAAAATTAGAAAAAAAAGATACTTGAGACTAAACACTTAAAATATGTATTATACAATTTTATACACATTGACATGTAAAAATTATTAAAAAAATTTTTTTATAAACCATGTCATGCATCTCAATAACGAATAAATAGATCTGAATGAATAAATGGATGCGAACATTATATGATCTTGAAACAGAATTTGTATCATCATGATGAAATAAAAAAATCTTATATTTGTCATTAATTGTTACTTTTGCTTACTGTTGGAAAACTTGCTAAAGCACAGAATAAAGGTTATACGCATTAATAGTAATTGAATACATAATACATTTTAACATAAGAAGAGATGAAATGATCCACAATCAAGATCTGTGAATTTTAGAAATTACATTTTGTCTCTACATTATCTCAACTTTACCCAAATCACATTTCATAAACATCAGAATCCGTAGAAATTTTGCTAAATTAAATCGAAACAATAGTATCTTATAGTCTTACGTAATTTATCGTACTTGTTACGTATATTTACTTTTTGCAATTGTTCCATCGTTCGAATGCACACACAGTACAAAGTTCTGTCTTTTCCTGCACGAGATAAATTCACATAATGTGTTAAGAGTTACATTCGAAACTGATTCACAATAATGAAACAGAATATGAAAGTAAAGGAAAATGTCCTTTCAGAGAGAAACAGTAAGATACCAGCTTTATAACGTAGAAAGGACACTGCTAAAACACAGACAGTAATGTGTAAGGTGCTTATACCGTAGCGTAATTACGGAACAGAAGATAAATAGAATTGATAAGTAAGTTTCCGCAATTTCTCGAATGTCAAACGTTCGCATTGAATCGCTAATATATAGAGTTCGCAATATTCCGAAGAATGAACGACAAGGAAGACGTTTGTCAAAGCCGTTCTTACTTTGTTCTTAGATTATATCTGACTATTTCGGGATTATGGCCGTATCACAAACTTCGCAATAGATGTATTCACTTCGTGTCACTGTTTGTGCTTAGCTTTACTATTCTGATACCTCAGGTATATCCATTGAGAGGTTTGCCAGAGAAGAATTTTCTATAATCTATTTCTGTTACTACAAAGTTACTGTATGTCTTTTTTTTATTAGAAGTTAATTTAATATATCAATATACAGTTTTAATATATCAATATACAGTTTATTCATTAAACTGTGTAATGAAAATCACATATACATGTGCGAACGTATATATTATATATGTCAAATTTTATTAAATTTTTTTAAAGGATATAACTTTATTATTTTTTTAATTTAATTTGAAGAAGAAAAAGAAGATAAACAAACAAATTTTAATATAATTTATCGAAAAAATGAAAATATTAAATGTACATATGTGGAAAATTATAAGAAAATAAACATATATGTCTATGTTTTGCTAATTATTTCAAATTTAGAAAAATATGATCAAAATTTATCAATTTCGTGATTACGTTTAAATCTAATATAGATACTTTATTTACTGATCGGCTCGATCACTCTTGATGACATATTCGAGTGTGTACCATCGATATTCATCACTATGTTATTCAGTTTCAAAATATTGGTCATAATGTTAAATAGTGAGAAAGTAAGTAATAAATTTTCAGTCTTTCAATAACTTCTGACTTTTGTATAAAGAAATATATATGACAATAGTAAGAAACACACGAACATTTGTTTAGTTAAAGACTTGTCTTAACATAATACAAAAGGACTGGCTATCATTAAATACAAATGTAGAAAAGATTATTCTGGAACGGCATACTAAGTATGGACAACATCTGGAAACATTTTATGCAGGTGTGTAAAATTTTAAGATTGTAAAAATTTACATAAACATTTTGAACGCACATGTAGGTACGTAAGCGTGCATTTTGGATCATATTTCTCACGCTCTTACACTGACAGAAAACTGTATTAAATTTTAATAAATATTTGTTTGAATAATGTCAGTTAAACATTTACTAAATGTAAACATATATTTACTTGGTATAAGAACCATTTAATTTGATTCGATTATTATACTTTTTAATTCGATTTTAGTATAATGTTCACTGCAGCACCTCAAAATTTTGTGTCTAGTTTAATCCTGTAAAAGAACAATTTTTTATTCCGTTCAGGTAAATTCGGAGATTTATATCGATCTGCAATGTCCCGACAATTTGGTCATTCCAGCATTCCTTTATAAAGAAAAATTGAATAAAAACATACTAATTGCAAAAAAATCGATTTTTTTAAACATATCAATAAATATATGCTTGAAAATCTTGCATACGATGTATACTTTTCCTAGTTTTCATGCATACGACTGCGTGCCTTTTCATGCTTAAACCAATCGTGCTGACTCTGGTGGGGAATGACGTCTTCAATGTGACAAAATCTTCTATAACATACGCATCGAGATTACCCTTCCACGTGGAGTACGGCAAGAAATTCAATCAATATATATATCCAATAGCAGTGCATAATTATGCTGCTGTAGTCGCTCATTCATTTGCTACAATCGCCGTTGACGGATTGTACTATAGTTTAATTCAGCATGCTTGTGGAATGTTCTCGATTATTGGGTAAGCTCTTTTGATCATGAAAAATCTCTCTTAATCATGAAAAAACAGGAATGCTGCAATCGATTTCTTCGATGATTCATAGACCGGTATTCATAGTCAGATCTTATATTCAAGATCGTCTTAAGAAGTCATGAACCAATCAGAAGGTCGTATTAGCGTCTTAAGACATTACTTAAGACAGTCTTGAAATAAGATGGACTATATACCGCCCATATAATCTCAAAGTCTCGATATGCGAAAAGTATATTTCTGGCATTACAGAAACACGTTGGAGAACATTGGTAAAAATAACGAGGAAAATTTTGACGCGAAATCAATCAAAGTAAAAGATGACAATTATAGTAAAACTTTACATTGTTTACGTAGACATGTCATTCTGATAGAGTACGTATGAAGAAATTCATGTAATGATATCTACATTTATTTTTGTCGTTGATATTGGCATTTACATATTAATTTATAAATTATCGTTTAGTGTTCCCATTTCACAGATTTGCGGAGCATATCGAATCGTTATTTACAAAAATATTTCTGATGACTCTTAACTTAAATATGATTGGTAGCAGTTTAATCGGTATACAAGTATGTATCAACTATTCTTTTCTATTTATATAATAAATAATAATAAATTCATATTACAATTAATTAATAATTTATTTACAAATAATAAATTTTAGTACGAGCATTTTTGTTTATACATTCCGACGACAACAAACAGAAAATTGAAAAAAAATCTAAAATAATCATCTTTAATAATTTTTAATAATCGATAAATTTATCAATGCGGTAGCCAAAAAAAGTACAAAAATAAATCATGTGTATTTTAGGTGCTAATGAATTTAGATAAGGGCGCAAATGACATCATTGGACCCTTAACTATCTACGTTGCACAATTTATTCATTTATTTCTTCATTTTTGGCAAGGTCAATTTTTACTTGACTACAGCGTCCTCCCATACGAATCTATGTAAGAATCAATTCAAGTCAATCGTCTAATTATCTAATTTTCTTTTTTTTTCTTTTTTTTTAAGCTTTTGGAAGGAAAAACTCAAATAAAAATGTATAGTTTTCTATGTTCTGCGAACATTAATTACAATTGCTATAAGCTATAAATAATCTGTTATATATAGCATATACAAGACGTATCAAAAAATTGATTTTGTGGCTTTTTGGATGGCGAGATAAAAAACTAGTATATTTGGTAAAAACTAGTATAAATATTTGGTAGCAAATATTTGGTAGATTTATCGTTAATCATTTTAATTTTAATTTTTCTTGTTTCATGTAATAGCTGCAGAGCCAGTTGGTATTATACTTCGCAAAAATGTCGAAAACTTCTGCTTCTAATGATGTACAGAACAGTAATACCTTGCAAAATAACAGCTGGTAAACTAATGATTCTATCCATCGATAACTTTGCCATGGTAAATATATAACTGCATTACTGTATTTTTAATTTTTATTGTAATAAGCGTAATTTATTGAGAAAAATCTTTTATTTTTTAAAGGTGGTAAAAAGTTCTTTGTCTTATCTTACTGTGTTCCGTTCAATGCAGTGATGATTTGGCGCATC